AAGATTTATTATTTTATGTATGAATTGTCTGTTTAGTTGAGTGCTTACTTTGTCCCAGCTACTGTCCAAAGTATTTTATGTGCATTAACACATTTGTAGGTGTTAAAAAGTAATTTTTGAAGAGTGGTTTATACACCACAAACAAATACAGGTCAGCAAGTCAATATAGGTTGAAGAAAAAAAGGGTAACCATTAACATACCTGATAAATTGCAACAGACTGACAGATATTATCTACATTGAGTAAGTAGAACCCATAATCTAGCAGTGTATCAGAATATTTTGGGTGTTTTGATCCAAAATGATCCCTATAAAAGGATACAAAATTATTAGCATATAAAGTATAGAGACAATTTAAAAGGATATTTTTAATAATAATCACCTACCGTGCCAAATACACTGCATGTTTAATTAACTGTTCTGCCTTCTTAAATTCACGTTTTACTACACAAGCCTAAAGATAAAGTGAAAAACAGTTAACTCTCAAACAGTTCATTAGTGTGCTAAATTAAGTGTAGTTTATATATTCTGGCTATAACAGCTAATAAGAAAAAACCCTCCAAACATAAATACAAAGGTTCTATTTGTAATTTCTTTCCTTCCAAGTACTTAAAAATTTTCTATTATAGGCCGGGCGCGGTGGCTCACGCCTGTAATCCCAGCACTTTGGGAGGCCAAGGCGGGCAGATCACCAGGTCAGAAGATCCAGACCATCCTGGCTAACACGGTGAAACCCCATCTCTACTAAAAATACAAAAAAATTAGCCGGGCGTGGTGGCAGGCGCCTGTGTAGTCCCAGCTACTCGGGAGGCTAAGGCAGGAGAATAGCGTGAACCCATGGGGTCAGAGCTTGCAGTGAGCCGAGTGCCGCTGCACTCCAGCCTGGGCGACAGAGAGAGACACCATTTAAAAAAAAAAAAATTCTATTACAAACAGATATGTATATAAGCTGGGAAAATTATAAAGTTTAAAATTTTGACAGTCAGTCCTAGTACAAATCTGTCATAATAAAGTCACCTTACAAAGCTGGTATACTCCCATTTTTCCCTATTATTAAAATAAAATAATGGGGCCAGCATTTACCACAGCATTTTCTAAGGTCCTTATATCCCAGTCCTGGAGTGGCTTACAACAATCTTTTGTTATTTTCATTTACTAATTTTTAAATGCATAGAATTTCAAGTTTTCTTATAATTTCTTTTCTTAAGAGACAAGGTTTTATGTTGCCCAGGCTGGACTTGAATTCCTGGCTACAGGCATAGGCATGTGCCATTGTGCACAGCTCCCAATTATTTCTTAAAATATTTTGATCCATGAGTATAGCTAGTCGTTTTTTAAAAACTCTAAATATAATTTGTATATAGAAATATTAATCTTGCATAAATATTACACTGGCTTTATATTAAATTAATATTCAATTATTTCAATTAATTAAAAACATGAGAATATCCCTGTTCTAGCTCCCATAACTTGAATATTTACACTGTTTACTTACTCTAAAATGACTGACTTAATACAGAAATCTTGGATTCTCCCAGATATAATTTTGGACTCTATCTTCTAGTTGAATTTTCATAAGTAAAATAAACCAAAATGAAATATTCAAATCTGAGAAACTTCTGGGTAGAAGAGTGTATCTGAAAAGTACATTAATGCTTTAAGGCCTCACTGCACCAAAGCAGTAGTTTTAAACCACTACTAAATATCCTCAAGAGTTAATGCAGGCCAAGCGTGGCAGCTCACACCTGTAATCCTAGAACTTCTGGAGGCTGAGGTGGGAGGATCGCTTGAGTCCAGGTGTTTGACACCAGCCAGGGCAACATAGTGAGACCCTGTCTCTATTTAAAATAAAATAAAAATGTAAAAGATTTAATGCATTTATTTACAGAATAAGAAAAGACTAGAGAAAAATCAAGTAAGGACTGCCTAGCAGGTCAAGTATAGCAAGCTGCCTTGCTGTGAGACTGCAATACTATGACAAAGAGATTTAACACCAGGCTATCCTTTAGCAGAAGAGTGACCAAAGTTCACAGGATTTTGGCATAAGGAATTTAGGTTGCTATAAATATTAAAAAAAAAAAAGCAAAAAGAAACTCAAGCCAGAATAGCACCCAAATACTACTTTGATCTGTACTTTAGTGCACTGAAACAATTATCAAAATGAATTATTTCACTGGTTTTCTTGGTAAAGAAAAATCAGCTAAAAATCTACGTGTGATAGTTTTAGTTAGAAACCAGATTTCTAAAAATGAGCACAGAAACTTATAAAACAGACCTATGTCTATGGAGTGTACAAATAACTAAAATGTTAAACAATAGGTTAAAACCAGATTTCTAAAAATGAGCACAGAAACTTATAAAACAGACCTATGTCTATGGAGTGTACAAATAACTAAAATGTTAAACAATAGGTTAATTAAAACAAACTTAAAGCCTGATAAATCCTATAATTCATTTAATAATTTTAACAGTATATTTACCTTAGAAGCTTGTCTTAAAACATCCACCACAACTTTCACTGGTAAGCCTGCTGTAATTTCTTTCATTGCCTCAATGCACCATTTGTATGCCTAAAAAAATTATTATTTATAGAAGAGACAGAACTGTGGTAAATCAAGTTGACAATATTTAACAAGATGACTGCAAAATTTTTCTACAAGCACTTCAATAAGAACACACACAAAATATTTACAGTTAGAATTTTCTGAGGCTAAACTTTCTTCAAAGTATAAATCTGTTAAATTATTTTTACTCTTAATATCTATAGCTTGTCTGAATCAGACCTTGTGTATACATATTTTCCAGAAATCAGAGGTATGTTCTCTCTTGCCTAGAAGCCTTTGCGCATACTGTTCCCTCTGCCTTAAAATACATTCCCCCTTCTTCCAACTTCTTAAACTCACCTGTCTTGCAGGTTTCAGTCCCAGACAAGGTTTCCTGTGTTTTCCTATACATTCCATCCTCCTACTGTAAGATTTATTATTTTATGTATGAATTGTCTGTTTAGTTGAGTGCTTACTTTGTCCCAGCTACTGTCCAAAGTATTTTATGTGCATTAACACATTTACCTGACACAAAAGCCCTATAAGATATGTAGTATCTAGGTATGAAGTGGGAAACAAAACAAAAAATGTCCTTCCTCTCCTGGTGCTTAGTGGAAGAAATTAAAAAGGCAAAATAAATTATCAGGCTGGCTGTGGTGACGCATACCTGTAATCCCAGCACTCTGGGAGGCTGAGGTGGGAGGATCACCCAGCTCAGATGTTTGAGACCAGCCTGGGTTATAACATAGTGAGACTTTGTCTCTATCAAAAATCAAAAAAATCAGCTGGGCGTGGGGATGTGCACCTGTAGTTCCAGCTACTTGGTGGGGCTGACGTGGAGGCTGCAGTGGGCCATGATGATGCCACTGCACTCCAGGCCTTATGGAGTGAGACGCTGTCTCAAACAAACAAGTAAACAAACAAAGACAAGTGTGGCCATGTTATTTCTTTTGGCAATTAAAATATGAAAAGTGAAGTGTGCCATTTCCGGAAGAAAAGTCCAAGAGCCAGCAGTACTACTCCATGAAGTTTCTGCCCCTGTGCCCAGGCGGGTAATGTTCTAGATAGATATGTTCCAGATAGACCCAAAACCACACTGGGTCTTGATCAAACTGTAGATATAATGTTAAGAACAGCCATAGCCATCTGAAGACAGGGATATATTATGAGCCAGAAAGAAACTTTCATTGTTCCAAGCTATTCTGGGGTTGGTATTACCTCCACATAGCCTAGCCTATCCTAACACAAAAACATGGTGCTAATTCATCAAACTATGTCTGTAAGATTTGTTTACTTTTCTGTAGATATCAGTGAAAAGCTTATTTATCACTAAAAGATTGAACTTTCGAAATTATCCAAGACTTCAACATTCCTCACGAATGTGATGAGAGCTGCAAAGACATGAATAAGGCATAGTATAAACTCCTAAATCCAAATGTAGAAGGAAAATAACTGTCAGGCTGGGCATGGTGGCTCATGCCTGCAATCCCAGCTCTTTGGGAAGCTGAGGAAGGTGGATCACTTGAGCCTAGGAGTTTGAGTCCAGCGTGGGTGACAAAGCAAGACACTCCCTGTCTCAAAAACTACAAGAAGCCCATCCAAACAATTTAGGTAAACATTTCGGTTAAATTAAAACAAAAACAACAAAAGAAAGGGCTCTAAATTATACATGTATATATTTCAAATTCATCTCACAAACACTCCTTTTGTCTGATTTCATTTTTATTTTTTTGAGACAGGGTCTCACTCTGTCACCCAGGCTGGATTGTATAAATATGGCTCACTACAGCCTCAACCTACTGGGATCAAGGGATCCTCCTGCCTCAGCCTCCCATCTAGTTGTGACCACCACAGGTGTGTGCTACACATGCGGCTAATTTTCTGTAGAGGCAGGGTCTCACTTTGTTGCCCAGGCTGGCCTCAAACTCCTGCGCTCAACTGATTCTCTACCTTGGCCTCCTAAAGTGCTAGGATTATAGGCATGAGCCACAGTGCTCAGCTTGACTGATTTTGAATATTCCATTACAAATGTGTACTGCCTTATATAAACCTAATAAGCAAAAAAGATCTGTAAGAAAAATAAGAGAAGACTATTTGATTTACTCTCTGTTTTTATAGGTACTTATTGGTCACAATGAAATGTACCTTAAAACACTTACCTCATCATAGTGACTTTTTGCAAATAGGAGTGCACACAGTTCTCCATAGAGTGCAGCTTTATTTGCTTGCTGGCCATGTTTTGATAGTTTATCCATATATGTCTGAGCTAATTTAAATGTTTCTTCACCCAAATGATATTTGCAGTTTCCATTTCGCACATGAAGCAACCTATAAAACACAAATAACATTGCTCTATTTTTGATATTTCCAGCTTGGTAGACCTGATGACCTCTTATCAATCACCTAAATGACTTAAGGTAATTAAATGCAATTACAAGGCAGCACTTGAAAATACATGTGTGGACCAAATTGGAGCTGACCTCATGCCGATAAAGAAGTACATGCTCTTTCCTGAAAGCTTCCCATAATTAATTTCATCAATTGTTGATTCCTTATCTTCTCTAAATATTTTATATATTTTGTATACCCAGCATGTACTGCATCTAAAAAAATGACATGACATTTGCTCTTTTTGTTCCAAATCCACAAGTAATATAGCTTCAGTATAAGAAACTTGGAAAATAATGAAGAAAGTAAAATCAACATAAAATATCTTTTCTTATTTTTAGTACAGTCTAACACTTGATCAGTTACCACTTATTTCATGATGCTTCATAATGTTCATTTTTCTTTCTAATAAGATAAATTTACCAAAAATACCAGTAGTGTCAACTATTTCTTGAGACGGAGTCTCACTCTGTTGCCCAGGCTGGAGTGCAGTGGCACAATCTCAGCTCACTGCAAGCTCTGCCTCCCGGGTTCACGCCATTCTCCTGCCTCAGCCTCCCGAGTAGCTGGGACTACAGGCGCCCGCCACCACACCCGGCAAATTTTTGTATTTTTAGTAGAGACGGGGTTTCACCTTGTTAGCCAGGATGGTCTTGATCTCCTGACCTCGTGATCTGCCCGCCTCGGCCTCCCAAAGTGCTGGGATTACAGGCGTGAGCCACCGCGTCCGGCCAATTATTTCTTTTAAAATCTTTATCCTCTATAGTGGAAATACAGAGTTCTTTACACAAAGTAACTGTACAACCATGCTGACTATTTAACGATATGCCAAAATAGTACAATGCTTCTAGATAGCAACAGACTATGTGTCTATATAGACTATACAACATAGGCAAACAGTGTTAGGACTGGACAAATATTTATTTATTTATTTATTTATTAAATGCTAGCTAGAACATTACGTTCATGTATCAAGCCAACACAACTTTCTGAAATGCTCAGCCTGAGAAGGAACAAAGGTATAAAAGCTACTTAAAAAAACACCAAGGATGGAGAGGTTAGGAAGTATTCTTTAGGAGCATCAAATCAACAGATACATAAAATTTATTTTTTCTATCTATACCACAAATATTAACAGATTAATAACCCATGATGATAAAAATTCAGACAATCTTTTAATATGTATCATTCCTTTATATAGTCAGGGAAACAGATTAACTTCAAAAGAACCAGGACTAATCAATAAAGTGATGACTACTATACATTGCCAGTGTGTATCCTGTCAACATGTACCACACAGTTATCTGCAAAATCTATTACCATAAGAAGCTTACGTTCTAGTGGTGACAAGGGTATTAGCGTGGGCAAATATGCAAATACATAAGACTTTCATTTAAGGATGAATGCTATAAAGATGATTAAAAAAAAAAGTAGAGTAATATGATCAAAAGATTCTCAAAAGAGGTGTTTAGGGTAGACAGGGAAGAATTCTCCTGAGGTGGTAACATTTAAGTTGACACCTAAATGATGACACTGTAGCCAGCCAAGTGAAGATCTGGTGGGGAAGCATGTTCCAAAACAGAAGGAACTGCAAAATAGAAGGAATAGACCCTGAGAAGGGATGGGGAGAAATTCTGGCATAGTCAAAGGAACAGAGAAGGCCAATTCATCTAGACTACAGTGAATAAAAGATTATGTAAAGAGAAATGAGAAGGCAGAGATAAGCAAGATTTTATAGCACCTTGCCTGCCTTGGAAAGGAGTTTTGGTTGCAACAGTAAGGGAGGTGATTTGACTTATGCACTATCTAATATAATTTCCTGATATGTTAGAAATGTTCTATACTTGTGTTGCTCAATTTGGTAGCCACTAGCCACAGTGGCTACTGAGTATTAGAAATGTGCCCAGTGTGACTGAGGCACATTTTACTTTTAATTATTTTAACCTTAATAATCACATATGGTTAATGGCTACCAAATGGGACAATGCAACTGTATCAAGAATGCTCTGGCTACAGTGTGGAGAATGGATTATAGCAAAGCCAAGAGTGGAAGCAAAGCCACCAAGGCAGAAGATACTGTAACAGTCCAGAAAAAAAAATTCCTTGAGAAAAAAAGGATTAGTATTTGAAACACAGATTTGATAGCCAAACAGCTGAAAGAAAAAAAAATGAGAAACCCATAGGTTGAAATTTTAGAGAATAAAAAGAACAGTGCTTACTTCTCATTTCCACAATGCTAAGAATTTCCTTTCCAAAGACCTTCACTCTAAGTATTCTCCTGAAATAACAATCTGTGGAAATTATTTAGTAATTGGCACATGATGAGGTAACAAAATAAACATTGTAGGCCAGAAAGGCACAGCTTGATATTTTCTCCAGTCCCTGCTGAATATCTATTTAAACAAAAGGGCAAATTAAACATATGGAGACTCTTTAAGGTTCTGTGTGTCCATCTGGGCTGACACTAAGCAGTATATTGAATTCAAGGAACTTGCGGTCCAACTCATTATGGTCTAATTTTATCCCAACATTCGACCTAAGGAAAACGCAGGTTCTCAAAATGTGGCACTATCATGCAAACACAGTATTTTACTTTCACAATAACATAAAATCTTGTCTACCTGATCAACACCTATTGTCAAGAGCAACTACTATCTGATTGTTCATTGTTTGAAATGAAAAATACACACATATGTAAGTCATTAGTTTACTAATATATTTACCATAAGACTGAACATGACTAGTTAGAGCCTCATCAGCCAGACATAACGAAAGTAAAATACACTAAAAGTGAAACTAAAGGAAAAGAATTTCTTTCCTTCTTATAAGTGTCTTTTTCTTACAACTAGTTTAAAATTTTGGCTGGGTGTGGTGGCTCACGCCTGTAATCCCAACACTTTGGGAGGCCGAGGTGGGTGGATCACGATGTCAGGAGATTGAGACCATCCTGGCCAACACGGAGAAATCCCATCTCTACTAAAAATACAAAAAAAATTGCCGGGCGTGGTTGTGCATGCCTGTAGATCCAGCTACTCAGGAGGCTGAGGCAGGAGAACTGCTTGAACCTGGGAGGCAGAGATTGCAGTGAGTTGAGATTGCACCACTGTACTCCAGACTGGCGAAAGAGCAAGACTCCATCTCAAAAAAATAAAAAATGGAAATAAATGATAGCTTGAAAGGGTAGAGCTGCATAATGAAAATAAAGACCGGTATGGGTTTAATAATTTTTTTTTACTATGGTGAAATATACATAAAACTTTGTGCCATATGAGCTATTTTAAAGTATACAATTCAGTGGCATTACTTATATTAACTGTATCATACAACCATCAATACTATTCGCTTCCAAAACTTTTTCATCACCCCAAAGAAAAATTCTGTAAGCATTAAGCAATAGCTTCCCCTTCTGCCTTACCCCTAAGTCCCTAGTAACCTTTAATCTGCTTTCTGTCTCTATGAATTTGCCTATTCTACATATTTCATGTAAGTGGAACCATACAGTATTTGTCCTTTTGTGTCTAACTTATTTCACTTAGGATAAAATTTTCAAGGTTCATCCATGTCGTAGCATGTACCAAAACTGGCTGAATCATTGTATGAGTATATATGTAAAAATGCCAAATTTTATCTCTCTATTTATCTGTTGATGGATACTTGGACTGTTATCTTTTGACTTGTGAAAAATTCTGCTATAAACACTAGCACACAAATATCTTTTTTTTTTTTTTTTTTTGAGACAGAGTCTCGCTCCATCGCCCAGGCTGGAGTGCAGTGGCTGGATCTCAGCTCATTGCAAGCTCCGCCTCCCGGGTTCACGCCATTCTCCGGCCTCAGCCTCCCGAGTAGCTGGGATTACAGGCGCCCGCCACCTCGCCCGGCTAGTTTTTTGTATTTCTTAATAGAGACGGGGTTTCACCGTGTTAGCCAGGATGGTCTCGATCTCCTGACCTCGTGATCCGCCCGTCTCGGCCTCCCAAAGTGCTGGGATTACAGGCTTGAGCCACCGCGCCCGGCCTCAAGTATCTTTTGATTCCTTGCTTTCAATGCTCTTAGGCATATACCGTATGACTCAGCAGTTTCACTCCAGGGTATATGCCTAAAAGCATTGAAAACAAATATCTTTTGATTCCTTGCTTTCAATGCTTTTAGGCATATACCGTATGACTCAGCAGTTTCACTCCAGGGTATATGCCTAAAAGCATTGAAAACAAATATCTTTTGATTCCTTGCTTTCAATGCTTTTAGGCATATACCCTGGAGTGAAACTGCTGAGTCATACGGTAATTCTATGTTTAGCTTTTTGACAAACTGCCAAACTGTACTCCACAGCAGCTGCACCATTTTACATTCCCAGCAACAGTGCACAAAGTTTCCAATTTCGTTTTCTTTTTTTCAAATGCTCTCTCAGCAGAATCACTCGATTTCTTCTCATCCTTGCCAACACTTCTTTTCTTTTTTTTTTTTTAATTGTACCCATCTTGATAGGAATAAAGTGGTGGCTCATTATGTTTGATTTGCATTTCCCTAATGCCAAATGACACTGAGTATCTTTTTATGTGCTTACTGGTCTTTTATGTATCTTCCTTGGGAAAATGTCTATTCAAGTCCTTTGCCCATTTTTTATTTTTATTTTTTATTTTATGAGACAGAGTCTCACTCTGTCACCCAGGCTGGAGAGCAGTGGCATGATCAAGCTCACTACAGTCATGATCTCTTGTGCTTAAGTGATCCTCCCACCTCAGCCTCCTAAGTAGCTGAGACTAGAGGCTCGTGCCACCACAGCTGCTTGATTTTTTAAAAAATTATTTTAATAGAGACGAGGTCTTGCTATTTTGCTTAGGCAGGTCTCAAACTTCTGAGCTCAAGAAATCCTTCTGCCTCAGCCTCCCAAAATGTTGGGATTACAGATGTGAGCCACCATACCCAGCCTACTCTTTATTTTAATTAATTAATTAATTAATAATTACAGGTGGTAGGCACCTGTAATCCCAGCTACTTGGGAGGCTGAGGCAGGAGAATCGCTTGAACCTGGGAGGCAGAAGTTGCAGTGAGCCGATATCATGCCACTGCACTCCAGCCTGGGCAAAAGAGTAAGACTCTGTCTCATAAAATAAAGCAAATACATGTAAAGGAAAATAAAAATAAAAATTAATTCATTAATTAGTTTTTTAACAGAGTTTCACTCTTGTTATATTTTTTAGTAGAGACAGAGTTTTACCATGTTGGCCAGACTGGTCTCGAACTCGTGACCTCAGATGATCTGTCTGCCTTGAACTCCCAAACTGTTGGGATTACAGGTGTAAGCCACAGGGCCCAGCCTCATTTTTAAATTGTGTTGTTTGCAGTTGTAGTTCTTGATATATTCTGGATACTAGAACCCTAATTAACATATGATTTGCAAATATCTTCTCCCATTCCATAGATTGTCTTTTTATTTTCT